ATTTGTATATATATGGATCTATCATATATGCAAGGTAAGTATTTGCAACGGGGCCCCATTGTAAATTTGAAAAAATAACTAAATTTTCTTTAGTTTAATTTCAGGCTTTAATTCTCCGGCAAATCTTGCATTCATCATGATAAAGTTATACGAAAGTGATTTATTATGCGTTATATAGAGGCGCAAAATTTTGGAAATCGCGTAGGACGCCAAAAAAGTTAGAACCGAGCGTGTGTGTAAATCTTGATGTGTATATGTAAATAGAACACACAGTTTCATACTAATCAAAAGTTTATTTAAAATTTTATCAAAAAAATTTTCTAACTTAATTTTAAATTTTAAGAAATTTGGCCATTAACAGCTAATTCAAAAATACTATTTTTTTTTAAAGATTTTATTTTTATTTATTTTAAATTTAATTTCAAAAAATTTGAATATAAATTTTAAAAACAATTTTTAAATATTTACAATATTGAAAGAAATTTGTTCATAATATTTTTTTTGTATATTTTCGAATAATTTGAAGTTGTTTCTTTTGTTAGAAATAGAAATTGTGCAATTGAGATGTTGAGGAAAAATTTGAAAGTTATTTTAAAATTATAAAGTAAAATTTATTAATTAAAATTTTTAATTAAAATATTATCAATGAAATCAAAATTTTTCTAAAATAACTTATTCTACTTACTTTAAAAAAATAAAACCAAATATGTAAAATTAAATTTTATTTAATTAAAATTTGAACAAGTACAATACAAAACTGAAAAATTTTCATTCAACTTTTTGTGAATCATATAAATAATTTTAGAATAATAATTTTTTTCGGTGAAAAATGAACGTATTGTACTTAAGAAATTTCCACATTGTAAAATAGCTCCCAAACATTATATTTGAGATTATAAAATATATAATTATCTAATAGCCATGCCAAATTACAATATTTCATTTTAATGTATTAGTATTTTAGGAATTCAGGATATAAACAAGACATAAGATTAAAATAAAGTTGTTTTCCAATAATTTATAATAAATCGTGCAGCATTAAATGAAAAGTAATTTAACCTAATTAAATGGTTTTTATTTAAATTAATTTATAATTGAAAATAATACTAAAAATTAACTCACACGATTCGTCTACTTAATTACCCCTACAGATATGCAATGATTTTTATACCCCGACAGATATGCAATAATGTGTATTTTAGTTTATTTTTCACACAATTTTTTTTGCGCATTTAAAAATTAACTATGCGATCTACGGCAAACAAAGAATTTATTTTTGATTGATTAAAATAATAATAATTTTTGATTTCATATCTCCATTAAAGCGCTTTTATTCAGTAACATTAAATCCAGAATTTATTACCTATAACGTATTAATTTGCAAAAATTAATTTACTTGATTAATTCGTCGGTTTTCTTTTAAATGTACATAATTTAATAAATCAATACCAATACCAAGATCTAATAAAAATAATATATCAAACTATTGAACAGTCTCCTGAGACTGTACGAATATATGCAACTTATGTAAACAAATGTGATGCGTAACACACAAAGTATTGTCAGTATACGTAATATAATAAAGGAAATCATAGAAAAATCCCGAAATATTCAATTAAGTTATTGTTAAAAAAAAAAAAACAAAAAACTTGGGAAAAAATATTAAAACCCATTCATTTTGTTGTTTGAAAATATTATTCACCTATTTATTATTAAATAATTTATTAGATAAACATCAATTTATTAGAATATACGATAAGTATACTCTAAATAATTATTAACAAAAATTATTTAGAAAAAAAAGAAAAATGGGAACGTATTATTTTGGAACAAATTTATCTATTGGCACATGAATTGAAATTCTAATGAATGAAATGATTACACCAAATTCATAGAAATAAAGGTAAAACCAATACGTCTGCCTGCAACATATCATTTATAGCGATAAATATTATACATTATAAATATATACAATCCGCAATTATTCAAAAAATTAACAATAAATTCCTTTTGCTTCAATCACTTTTCATCGGAAATACATTATAAGAACAAGCCATACAATAATGCTATTTACATAATACCTAACATGATATAAATGTCAAACCTAACATGATATAAAGACATAAGTCTGGAAAAGAATAAATGCCAAAGTTAAACACCCCAGTTAGTGCCAATGTGCTGTTTTACTACCACTACTCCGTGACCTACATGTCGTCACTGACCGCACTATTACAAGGTGGCCACACGGTTCTTGTATGACCAGTCTGACGCCGCCCAGGATCTTGCATAGATAATGAAAGAGAGACCATCCTATTTCCTAAAGTGGTATTTTTTCTACACTTTTTCTCCGTCCCGCATGTAGACAAGACTATTCAGCTGCCATCGACATATAATTATCTATTGTCTATATATATGTTGCACCCAAAAGCGTGACAATATAGAGAGCGCACACTTCCGCCAGCTTGTGACAGCATTAGACTCGTTAGGGAGCCAATACAATGCAGATACCCCATGTAACAAGGAGAAAACTTCAGCACCATCCCTATCCCAATCCTTAGAAGCATAGGTGAATAAAGCCGGAGGGACTGGCCACGAGAGGAGAGCTCGACAAAGAAATTCCTTATCAACAATGAGCTGAGTCTGACCGCAACCTGGACGCAATGTTAGCAATATGTATTTCCGCCGGAAGTATTTACTTATTTATTTATTTATTTCAGTATGTCTGAAGAGAATACAAATTTATTCCCATATAAAGACTATATAACATGGAAAGTAAATGGAGAAGTGTATTGAAAACATCCGTGGGCAGCTAAATATTTATTTTTTAGCATAAAATATTGTATATTCTAGGTCAGCATCGAATTCTGAATTGATTCAGAAATATCTTTGTCCACCGGTCTGTTCAAGCGAATCTATTACTTAGGTAAATATTGTTATATAAATCCAATTCAACTTTTGTTAACCTTTACAAAACACTTGTTTGGATGTTATGAAATTGAAAAAATATTTGTTCTTAATTTGAATTCATTTGTTAAAATGTTGGAAATGCTTCAATGAAACGTATAAATTAATATTTAAAATAACAATGATATTATATTAAAACTAAAATAAATTCAAGCAATATTAAAATTCAAATAATTTTTGTGCAGGAGTTTCACGATAATACTGTTCTACCTTTTGTGAAATCATTTCATGCATAATCTACAAAAAAAAAATTGTTGCATAAAATTTTAATTTCCTTTTAAAAATCTACATAATTATGCACACATAGCTTAAACAAAATAAATTCTTAAAAAAACAATCACTTAGTCATTATAAAATCATTAACATTTTATTCAAACTTGCAAAGTGGAAAAAAAAATATTTTTTTTATTCTTATTCTTCTAGGAATTAATGGACCACAAATATTTGAAAATTTTTGAATTTTATTTTTAAAAATGATGAAACATCAAAAAATTCACTTCCACCAAAAACTTAAAATTCTTCTTATGAAAATTTTATATTATTTTTGCATTAAAAATGGTTGAAAAATTTCACGGAAACAAAATATTATTTATTTACAAAATCATGCATTTCACAGTGAAATTCTTTTATTGTTAGCACAAAAATATTTATGTTTTATTTATAGATTCTTACTTAGTATCCAATATAATTATAATTAGTATCCACAATTTTACAATTAAAAGAAAATTTCAATTTTAGGTAAATGTAATAGCTGGCAATAGAAAGGAGTTTGGCAAATTACAACAGTAAAATCCTCTTTTTTGCTTAATAAATAATTTTCAAAATTTCAATTAAAATTCCTATTTCTATGGAATTCCGAGGAATTTTAATACATTATCAATAGTACTTCTTGTCAAAAAAGTTTGAATCAATTGCGCTTTATACTCTTTAGAAAAAAATCCGTATAAGTAGGATGCTTTTACAAAAATTATTTTCATTGTAAACTGAGTTTGTTGATAAACAATAAATTCAATATAAAATTTTGTAATGATAAATGCCCTTTTTTCTTGTTCCTGATTTCTGAAGCGAATTAAATAAGCACTTGATCTCTGATATTTGATTGAATTTAATACACGATTATAGTAGTTTCTAGTCTTTAATGAAATCTTGTAAACAAATGTAATCTCGTGAATTGTAAACAAATCACGAGTGAGTCCATATAAGTCTTAGATGATCGCGACCATGCAATGACAGCACTCTAAGCGGTATTTAGATACAATTTCAGAAATATTCGTAATTTTTCATACAAATAAAATATTTGACAGCGATTTCTACCCGAATTGCTAAAAGTCTCTGTAATTTTGTAACTAAACGGCTAAAGTTTTATTTGAATTTTTAATTAAAAACTATAATTCATAATTGTTATACATGTATTAAAAATTAATTCAAAACAAAAAATTGAATGTTTCAACTTTACAATTGAAATTTAAAAATAAATGGAATTTTCCAATTCACTAATTATACACTTTTTAATTAGACTTAATTAGAAATATCAATTATGCATCAATTCTCTCCTCTTTCTCTCGTGCCTTTATACACAAAGTACATAGAATGTTATAAATATTGTGATTCCATTCAAAATTTAAAATATAAAATAATTTTAACAATTGCAATATAAATTATAATATTTGACGGTAAAAATTATTGAATTTATTTTATCTTTTATTTGTATTTAAAATTATTTTTGTCACAATTTATTCATTTTGTGATATTTTTTCAAAAGAATCGATAAATATTGTTTTTAAAATATCCAAATAATTTTAATTATGTTATTGTTATTTCATTGAATGTGATTTTAAATATGATAATTAGGTTAAAAAAGCCTGAATTAATTCAATCTTTAAAATGATTTGATAATTTAATTGAAAGTTTTTCTTCCCTAATTTTACTAAATGAACTTTAAATTATAACAATCATGTATTGTAATTATTACTTTATTTAATTTGAAAATAAAAAATTTTCTAATGATAAATTTTCTTTATATTTTTTAATTACAGATTTATTTAAGAAAATTTAATAAATACTTGAAAAACTGTTGCTGATGTCAGTGTTACTGAATTAATTGAGTATCAATATCAAGCATTTGTCATTACATTGTACATATTATATAAAATCTCGAACAACATATATGTATATGTATTTAGAATGTATTACAATTCACAATAAAAAGTAAGTACAAAGTACCAATTAAAAAATTAATGTTTACAGGTTCCTTACTAAGAATATTATATGTGTGTAGGAATATGCACATTTATTTCCATCCCAATGACTATATAGTATTTGTTGCACTTCCCTATGGAAAAAGCATTTAGATAATTATTGTATTCCTGAAAATTATTTTATCAGTAAAATAAGAACAAAATGTACAAATATAATATCGACCTCTTGTCACAACAATGACATAACTCAAAAAATACAATTTGTGAATTATTTATAAAGATGTAAGCCACCGAAATCATTATTTCTAGTGCAAAAATGCCATTTGCCCCATCTGGATAATTGCCGTTTAACAATAAATAATAATATAATGCTATAAGGAGAAAACAAATAATATTATTATTAATTCCGAAATTTTAAATTTATATTTTATAAAAAGTGCAAATTTTGAGTTATGTTCGTTTTCGCAACAAGCAAAAGATATGATTTTTCAATAAAAGTAATTACGAGTGGAATAAAAAAGTAAAACTAACATAAATTTACAATAATAGAAAAAATATGAAATATTTTTCATAGTAATTTAATTTTATTATAGATACAGGAATGATCTTTTATACGTGTATACACATTTGCTCGAACTAACGTGATTCCTTTAGAAAACAACCTATTCCTTCGGAAAACATTGAAATTTCTTTCATCTTTTTAATTTCTTTTCCTACTTTGGAGTTAAACTACAAAATCGGTTTAGAAATTCGGTATTAATAATGGGTAAGTCCATTAAATCTTCTTTTTGTAAAAATAAATTTTTCGTCTACCACTCGTACGATTTCGTACTAGCAAGAGTATAGTCACAGCATTACTGTAATTTCTAATTCAATAAACATATTTTCGTACAAATTTATGATATTTTTATAAATGGAATGTGAAGTTTGTATATTGTCCTTAGTTAACAATTTTTATTTAATAAATTTTTTTATTAGTATTTTATGACTTCCATTTAATTAATTATTATACCATTACGTAACATTTGTACCCATAACTACATTAATGTGTATACTTATTACATAAATATAACATAATAGATTCTATATAATCAAACATAGAGATTAAATAGAAGTTATTTTTCCAACTTTTTCAAAATAAAAATCAGGAAAGTATTCAAGGATACGAAAAGAATGTAAAAGGTAATTATGCAACAATCTAATGCAAGGAATAAAATTTATTAATTCTAATTTCTAAAATGATTTTTATTAAGAACAATAATATTAAAATTTGAGAAAATTTTCGAAATTTTATTAGTTGGATATGAGATTTGATTACAAAATTTTATTTAATATAAAAAAAAATTAATAGTATATTCAAATTTAACAGGAAAAAACCTTTAGGCTTTAAAGAATCAAGTTGAATATAAAACTGATTGTAAAACTACATGTTTTATCTTTTGGGAGCGAGATTATTATATTTACTTTCCTCACAATGAAACCCAGGAAAAATAAATAATTTATTTTTTTCTTTTTTTTACTTTTTAACGTTCAGATGCCATTGAGATTAATTGAATCCCCCTTCCTCTTTAACAACTTGAAAACTTTAAAATATTGAGAAACAATTGAATTATATATAATAAATAAATTAAATAATTTATATGAAAATTTTATTATAAAAGTTTATTATTTTTTTATTATTCATAGTGTCATATTGGATTTTTCTTAGTTTGCCAAACAATTTATAAACTTTTCTAGATTCTAACCACTTATGAATGAAATTCCATGGAAAATAAATCTAATTAAAATGATTTTTAAGGTTGATTTTGAAATTGTACAAAAATAATTTTTCCAATTTTAAAAATAAAATTATTCTTTTCGAATTAAGAAACCAATGAAAAAAAAATAAAATTCCCATGTTTTCATTTCACTTAAAATACTTATTGTTGAATGCTCATAAATTTTGATGTAAACAAGAATTTAATGTAAATTCGAATTTTGCTTTGTGGGTCTGATGAACTGATGTAGATGTGCAAAAATTTTAGTCTAGAGACCAGTAAATGGTTTTTCTCAAGAATTAAATTTTTCTATTTTTTTTTCCACTTATCTACCATATTTTTAAAGAAATCTGGTTCTAAATTTTATGTTATAGCTATTTGTTATTCATTCAATGAAATAAGAAGATCTCTCGGGAAAGAACAAGATGATAATAGTTAAAATAACTCTTTTTGAAGAAGCTCTTCTGCATTATACTAATACTAAGATCCTAAATTTTTTTCCTTCTAAGAAATTAATTAGCAATAAATATTGGGTCTGCCAAAAAATTTCAGCAAAAGGTTGATAAAGAAACAAAAAAAACTTTTCTCTCCATAGAATTAAATTCAAAAAAAAAATCTATTAAAATTAATACATGGAATTGAAATTTTAAGCTATAATTCACTTAAAAAAAATGAAAATCTAAAACAATCCACGTAAAATGGCTAATAAAGTTTTCCATGAATTTTAAGATTTACAACTTAAAACAGAAAAACAAAAATAAGAAAAGTGACCCGTGTCAATTCTGTGATATTTACACGAACTCTTGATTCTATGAAATTCTATAGAATTTCAATTTAAATTTATGCAATCTAGCCTAAAATATTTCTAAATAGTTAAAAATCATTTATTAAGTAGCTCACATTATATATGGCGTGATATGTTTAAAATTTAGTTTTAATAGTGATAGAAATTTTATGACTGATATCATAAGAGCTCAAACATGTTCGACAAAATCTTTTACAAATATGAATTGGCCAAATTATTAAACTTGCTTGCTCAAAGCTAAAAGACTATAGTATCACAAATACAACAAAATAATTTTTGATATTGTACAGCAACTATTCAAAACACAGTGTCGATTACTCGCAATTTACAATAATTACAATTGTAAGTTAATTAGTTTTTACAGTATTTTTAATTTTAAGTCTTGCGCTATCACTGTAAAAAATAGATGGGCGGGCAGACATACCAAGAATAAATATCGTTTATAAACATCATCTATATCTGAGATATATAAATACCATCTATATTATTTGTCAGACTAAAAAACGTAGTCTGGAATCTTGTATACCACCGCTTGTATTTATATTTCGAAAGAGCCATATAAAATTAGAAATAATCCATTAAAAGATTTTCCATTAAAAAATGTCCAAAATAATTGCGAATTCATTTACATTATCATCTGTTAAACTTATACAGTTTCGATCAATTTTTAAAGAGAATATTCTTAAATAAATGAAAAATACCATTAAAGTATCAGTAAAAATTTTTACATTAGCCTTAATTTAAATTACTTTTAATAAAAAAAAAATTCTCAGTATAACCAAAGGTTTGTTGATTTAGACCCGTCTATTCAAAATTTCGAAATAAAATGAAAAAAAGTAAGAGAAATTTTGAGGAAAAAAAAGCAAAGGATTTTTTAAAATGAAAATTTTTTAAAAATTGAAATTTAACTTATATTAAAGACTTTATTAAGCTATTCACTGAATTTAAAAAATCCTTCAGAATCTTAAATTTAGTAAAATTTGCAAGTGGAATTTGATTCGTATCAAAAATAAATACGTTATCTTTCTTAATTTGACTTCATTGAACTCTTGTTTTTATTAAAAATTATGAAGTTATTATCATTAATGATCGTATAATTAAGAAAATCGTATTAAAGTCGCCTTTCTCCAACATATAAGGGCACAGGCAGACATGAAATTTTTAATTTTCCAATTACTGCTTAATTGTAAAATTTGTTGTACACACATCTAACCAATTAAACTATTGTGTTAATTTAAATCGAGTGCGTTAACTAAAATTTTCAATCGACTTGATTACTGAATTGCGTACAATCATACAGTTGCATATGTGTGCACTTGAATATAAATCTATAAAATACAAAGAAGCAATCAAACAGTAGCAATCAAACTAAAAATTGATGTCTGCCGCAGTCCTAACTCTATATTAAATAAGCAAGGATATTAAAATTTTCAGTATTTTAACGAGCGTTTAGTAAATTTTAAAGAGAAAATTATCCAAAGATAAATATTTAAAATTATAACAAAAAGTTACAAAATTTCGCTTTGTCTAAAAGTTTTTCTCTTTTGTGAATTTCAACAATTAAAAACCATTTGTGAATTCTAAAAAAAAAAGTTTTTTTAAATGTTTTTCATTGTTTTTTTTTTCGAATTCAATTTATTTCCAATTTTAAATTAAAACTTTTGGAGCAGAAAAACACTCCACAACTTAATTATACTGAAATTCGAAAACAATATTGTAATTCGAAAAATTTAATAATATCTTTCAGTAAAATTAAATATTTTTATTTGTGCAGTTCGCTCTGATCGTTTTGTTTGACAAAAAATATATTTACATACATAACGTATATGTATGTAATGCAATTATAAAAACTGCAATAATTTTATTTTGTTAAAAAGAATTAAAACAATACACAAATAAATTCGGAGAATTCTTCTATTTACTCTCGTTTGTAAAATTTAATAGTGTTCTGAAATAAATAACTAAGATAAATTAATCGTCTTCCCGACATTTAGAACTGCTTAATTTTTATGAGAAAGTTTTAAAATTATTAGATTATTTTTTATATGCAAATTTTGTTTCTAAATATGTTACATTGTGTTGCATTGTGACGAATTGAAAAAATAATTTGGGTTTTATATTGAATTTTATTCTTTATATATTTTGTAATTAAATTGTAAGATCTGGTGGCCGAAATTTATATTACTTTTTTTTTATCATTAGCCAAATAATGAACGTCAAATTTTAAAATCATTTTGTAAAAATTCGAAACACTCAAACTTTTCTAACTAAAAACCGAATTTATTTTGTTAAATTAATTTCTCGGTATGATTTGAAAATTTTGTTTTTAGTTCAAGCAAAACTTTTATTATAATTTCTCTAAATTTAAGTTGGTTAAGTTATAAACGATTTATATAACAGCGTTATAAAATTTGGATAGCAAAATTAAGCAAAACTGAATAAAATTAA